GGTGGCATGAGAGATACGATAGTACATAGTTTGGCGTTCTAAAATAAAACCACGTTTTTATATTCTTTGTTCGAAATTAAAAAAAATCGTGAAATGACCAAATTACTATTGCAGTAACTTTCATTATTTTTAATTACTGTATTTTTCACTAAAGCTTAGGTCGATTTTGAGGCAACTCAGGCAAGTAATTCAACACTCATCAGTCATCATGTGTAATATGTTTAACAACGTCGTGAATATAGAGAAATATTACCTCTAAGTGGCTCCAACCCACATAAGAGGGAGTGGTGCAACTATTTGAAAAAAGTGAAATTGAGGGGTGACATTTACAATATCAGAATTACGTCTGACATTTCATTTTCATGACTATTTCAGGGATTAAAAGTGGGATTTTCCCTACTATTTATTCAAAGTTTTAAAAACTTGGAATGAGCGGGGCCTAACATAAACCCTTACCTTATCATATTAATATCAATGACTTATAGACTCTATAATGGGATTGATACTCGATAATGGGATTAATATTGATTAGACTCTAAACTATGAGAATATTACTAATAGGATAAATATTAGAGATAATTACCCTCTATATGTACTAAAAGATGTCATCTTTCTCAATCTATGACTCAAATGTTTTTTTTTCCTAATATGATAGCTTCCTCCGTGAATCCATACGGTCGAACATATCTTCTCTATTATTCAATTCCAGATTTACCCTTTAACTGAATAACACGTTTAATTATTACTACGTATAATACTCAGCCGCCCATCCATAATTGATCAATTGCATAAGTAGGCTTCGTATCCATCCATAATTGATCAATTGCAAAAAGTAAGCTTCATATCCATTAGGAGAGATTCATGTTCATCTATTATTCTCATCAATATCCCTTTTAAATCAACTTTTTTTACAACAAATTTTTCTGTATTTTTTGGGAAATATTATAGAAGCTTGTCTGCTGCCATCATCAAGTCATGCCACAGTTGTCCAGCTGCCATCATCAAGTTGTGCCACCGCTGTCCAACCGCGCGCTTGCCGCAGCCCATCGTCTTGCCGCGCGCTTGCTCGCCGCCGCCACTCAACCGCAGGCTTGCCCGCTGGCCGCTGCCGTCCCTAGACATGTGTGCCACTGTTGTCCTGATCTTTGGACGTTGCCACCATCAATAGACATGGAGGCCGCCATCCCAATTCATGTGCGCCGCCACCATCCCGATCCTTGCGTGCTGCCGCCGGCCCGCCACCATCCTCTGTCCCTACACCAACCTACATGCACCTCCAAACCGCACACCTCCGTCCCAATCTTGCCGCCACCCAGCCATCTCCTCTATTCTCATTCATATTCTTCTTCTTCTCTACTATTGAAATTAGGATTTGGGGGCATTAAACATGGGCAGTAAACATAGGCAGTGAGCATGACCAATGAACATAGCAATAACTATGGTTGAGTATGGGAAAGAAGTGAATATGACAATATGTAATGTTGTACATGGCAATGAAGGAATGTATTGACGAAGTGTGTATGTTTTGCAGTGAATTGCATGCAATAAATTGTTTCATAACATTGGCGGAAAGTGCATTGATTATGACAAATAGTGCAGTAATGTAGAGCAGTATCACCCGCAAGAAATGCAATATAATTAATTAGACGTAAAATACTAAAATTATAAATCTAAAAAATATTAAAAAAATAACTATAAATAAATTCCTAAAGTGAATGAGAAGAGAACTAATGTTGGCGGAAGTGCAGTGATATGTTACCGAAAGTGAAGTAATGTTATGCAGTAATGTCGAGCAGTAACTGCAGTATGAGATGCACTATTTTTAATTAGACAAAAATAATATAAAATTCACATTTTTTTAAATAAAAGTATTTTAAAATGCAATAGATCAGATCGGGTCCGCCGAAATTTTCTCCTTCCCCTGCTCGATGACTTCTAATTGAAGTTTTTCTTTCATTTTCTTTTTTTTCCATGCGTGTGTTTGCTTGGGGTATTTTCGTACTTTAGTTATATGGTACCGTTTTGTTTTTCGCTGTTTGGTCATACGCAAGAACAAAAAGAACTGTGGTCATATATTAAGAATGCTTCCTACTTTTGGTCATATGCGGGTAAAATTCCCTAAATATTATTACTCAACAATGGGATTAATATTCATTGACAAATTTGACAATTATATTAAGAAAAGACTAAAAGGTTGAACATATATAAATCGCTATCGAATCAGAGAAAATTATAAATCATGAATTTTGATTTATGATTGTTGATTTAAACATATGTTAATCATTAGTTGCTGTGATGGAGGTTGAACAACTAGGCGTATTCATTTGGGTTTGCTATGAAATTGAGCTGTGTTGAAAAAATATGTTAAAATTGTATTAAATAGTCAATTCGTTATACAATTTTAACTGGAGTTTGTATCTTATTTGGATCAGGTCAAAGTGGTTTCGTATTTTCCTTGTTAAGCGCTTCGATTCGATATGTGGTGCACTCAAAACGACTAACAAGTGAATGAGAAATTAATTTTCGAAGTTCACTCATTGAAATGAAGAAAACTGGGAAAATGATGAGTTTCTAGTATGCTTTATCCCACACCGGAAAACCCAAGGGATTTGCACCCCCTTATAAAAGTGATCCTCTTTGAAAGAGAGTCGAAAAGTTCTCTTTCACGGAGGGGGTGCCGATCAAATTCCGAAAAACAAAGAAGAAAAACCGCAATTTGGATGCGTGGGTGCTCAGTTTGTAACGCCCAGTTTCTGTTTTTAGCTATTTTATTTGATTATTTTTTTTATTTTCCGATTAAACACACGAATTCATCCAACAAGCTATATATCAAAAGATGGAATATAAACTTAATTAGTACGAGTATCTAATTAGCAGGAAAATACATTTCAATTTCCTAAATTAGACTAACTCAAATTTTAGGAGAACGTATTATATATGGCTTGATAGATAAAAAAGTTCCATAGATAAGCCATAGATTTCTTAAAAAAAGTTCAATATAGAATTGAATTCATTCATAAAAAAGTTCAATTTCCATAAAATTTTTTATAAACGAATTCTATTGATTTGCATAATCCATAGATAAGCCATAGATTTTTAAAAAGTCTATAAACTTTTAAATTTGGAACGCCGCCGCCAGTCGTTGAAAATCCGTGATTTTAGAAGTCCGTAAAAATGAATAGAAGAGAATACGTCTACACTTTTTTATACTTTTAAAAATCTACATTTAATACATCTAGACTTTAACTTTTTAGACTTTAAAAAATTAGAATTGGATATTATTTTACAAAGGAGTAAATTTTTATCCAAAAATTTATTGAGTTTTATATGTAAGAGTGTATATCATCTAGAATTTAAAAAATTCAAAACCACTGGTCCACTACGTACTTCAATATTTACTATGGCTATTTGAAACACTATACGTAATTTTCCCTCTTCACATCTCCAAAAAAGATTGTAATTTTCTCTTTGCTTCTCACCAGGTCTTCGATAATTTTAGGTCCCAAACTATGTGTCTCCTTACTCTACCTCTCCAGCTCCTCCTCTAGGTGCCACTGCAACAATGAATGGATGATAGATTGAGCACTAATGGCAAAGGAAGATTCACAATTCCATAAGTTCTTGTTTGTTTGTTACTTTTTCATCACGAGACAAATATATGACAATATAGGTGACATAATTAGTAAGTATTTTTATATTTAGTTATTTCAATTTAATGAAAAAGTATAATACCTATATGGCCATATTTTCAAATTTTATTTTGATACTTTTATTTGGGACAACTGATCAAAACGTAACTTCTTTTCTTGAATTTTCTTTTCCTTTACTTTGTACTCGTTCCTTGTTTATTCCTTTCTTTTTACTAGCTTGGCGTAATGGCGTTCAAAGCTAGACTGCATTCTTTTGCTAAAGTAAGATTCACAAATTTGTAATACCAAATTACTATCATCATCACGTGATAGTAATCAGCTTGTAGTTATTTTAATTTTCCATTTCGCTCACACATTTTAGATTTCTTATATGCACGTTTGTTATTAACAGTATTCTACTTTTTTGGTAATGTCACACTAATTAATAAACATTTCTTCTATGATTTGCATAAACAATAAATTAATATCGGTCCAAAGTGACACAAATACTTATTTTACATATCCCAATTTCATCGCAATTGTTATGATAGAACAATTATCATAGAACTCCAACAAATTAAATTGTGTAAATTGAAATGGTACGCGCGGGATGTACCCAAAATCGTTTAGTACCTTACTGGCTTACTGTTTTTAAACAAGACCATATTATTCTCTATCATGTCAAAATCATTCCAAAATCTAAATACTATTAGAGATGAATTCTTAATTAATACCAATAGGTCCAATAGACTATAATAATAACAGAATGTAAAAAAGAACTAACACAACACTCAAATTGAATATAAAATAAAGTTAAGTAAATTCATACGAAGTATTCCATCTAAAATAAACCAACAGATAAGTTGAAGTCTAGAAACGAACTACACTAGTTGAGTCGGTTTCGATTCGGTTAAATTTTAATTTGGTCGGTTTTGTCGGTTCTTTTCTTAACCCGATAGCACATGCCGTAAACCAAACAGTGAAACAGCTGAGGGTTGGGTCGGTTTAGGTCAATTTTGATTTTAAACGTACATTTTGAATGGCCTCTCACTTAATTGCTTCACATTATTCTCTTTGCTAAGACCTACACCTATTCCCAACACATATGATATTATATCCATTTATCTAATCTCAAATATATTTAGCAAGGCATTTCTTCACCAACCATTTATCTACATGTATTTGACCTTCTCACAAGCAAATATTCCACACACACAAAGATTGAGCTGGAATGGAGTTTCTCATGATTTCATATAATCATATATAATCCTTGACAAGCCAATGTGCATGATAAATTAAAGACGAAAAACTCACAATTCAAAGACTAGATTACCAAAAACGAAATAATGAGCAATCTTTTTGAATTGCTTCACACAATAACCCTTTATTCTCACTCTTCCCTACATCAACATAAAATAAAAGTAAAAGATTTCAAAAATAACTCCTAGCTGCCTCATTTTTAAATGGTGTGCCACCAACCAAACTATATTCGAAGAAGAAAAACCCATTCCATCAATATATCATTCTATCCAAGAGTTAAGTTTCTTTTGTTAACAATGATCGGCTTTCATCATTATTATTGTTCAAATTTAAATCACTAAACTCCCCGTCCCTTTCCCTCACTTCCTCAATCCTCTCCGCAGCCTCTTTGATATCCCATCTCTTATCCACATCCACTTCACAACATCTCAAACCTATCCTTAGCAACTTCCTTATTTGCCCCTCGCCTTCCTCCGTAATTCCTTTCATGTCCTTGTCAAACACCTCTCTGGTCAAGTTCTCTTCGTTGGGGACCACTGACTGGATCCATCCGGTTAAATCGGCGTCCCCGTTCTGTAGAAACCCTGACGGAAGTTTTCCAGTCAGGGTTTCTACAATGAGTATACCGAGCGCCCAGACGTCCGTCTTCTTGGAAATCCGGGCGCTCTTCCGGTACTCCGGCGACTTGTAAGCAATCATGTGTGTTTGTGCATGCTCGATGTTGATCACCGGCAATAGGCCGTAGTCATTGAGAAGTGGTTGGAAAGATGTGTTGAGAAGAACATTTGAAGACTTTAGATGGCCGTGCGGTGCGATTAGGTCGGGAAGCTCTGTGTATAGATACATTAGACCTCTTGCAATTCCTTTGACTATTTTCAATCGAGTTGACCAGTCAAGACATTCGTTCCCGCTTGATTTGTTCCCTGTCAACAAATGTCACGTTTTTAGAACAACACAAGATCCTTAGATGGGATAGTGAATGAATATATTAAACTTCTCATTTGCCTTTTTCTCGAACGTTCCACATAAGAGTATCATTTCTATTTTAGAAAATGATTAGCACTTTTAAATACCGAGTAACAATTTAATCATCAAATTTTAGGTATAACATTATTGTTAAATCTAATGACTTTATTATAGAAGCATTATATACCATCAAAACTAATCATCAAATTGACTTATTATGTAAATAATTCTGTCATTTTTCATTGAGAAACTTAAGTCGGGATTGAGGTAATACTATTTATGTTCCGGCTCAAACTTCTTATTGAAAAAATGGGACGGTTATTTAAATAATAATTAAATAAGATTATTCAAGTATGGTTTGAGAACTACTTTTAACGAGTATATAATACGGATTATAATGAGATCATTAATTAAAATTGTGATGTAGGTGTAGTATTTTTAATAGTTAATGATTAAGTTACCATTCAAAACTACTAATTATTTTCTAAATAGAAATGAGAACGTTTATCTAGGATGTGTAAAAGATGGAAGTGAAAAGGTTGAAGCTGGAATAGAGGAAGTAGTAACTATCTATTCAATTTCGTAAATGTCACCCTGAGATGCACTTAATTTTTGTAAATGTAATCGCTAATAAATTTAAACACGAATGTAACTTGAGACGCAATAAAATACTTGCATGTTTTGTATACATTTTGAAACCACGCACACCTACAATTTTTGTCTCTAAAGTTATGCCACATGCAAATAGAAAACATCAGCCGGAAAGATTCAATTTTAGAGAAAATAAATGTTTAGTACATGCAAAAAAAGTTTGAAACTGGAAATCGTAGAATTTGTGTACCAATTCTCAAAAGCCTTTGTACGGGCAATTTTTACTTGTAAAATTAGGTTACAAACAAAAAGTGTTCGTTAAAAAGATCTAATTTCACATACAACAAATACCTTGTACGAATAAAAAATTATGTGTCTTAGTTTGATTTGACACGCTTATTAATGAAGTAGTTGAAAAAGTAAAAGTTGTGGTTGAGATTTGAGTATAATAATGTGAAATGGTGTAGATCACATATTACTTTCCAAAAAAAGGAAAGAAGACACTTATTTTGGGACAACCCAAAAAGGAAAGTAGGACAGATAAAATTGGACGAAGGGAGTAGTAAGGAAAACATATAAGTACCGTGAAGATGAACAGCCAAGCTAACATTTTGGACATAGTCAGCTACCAAGAGCTTCTCTTCTTTGCGGTAATAGAAGGCGGTGAGTGAGAGGATATTGGGGTGAGTCAAGGAGCCGAGCCTCCTCATGTGCTCATAGAACTCTTCCTTCCCGGCATTGTTCATCTCCCTGAACCTCTTCACCACCAACACCGGCCCCTCACTCAGTGTCGCCTTGTACGTCGACCCGAACACCCCGCTTCCCAATATTTCCGCCGATGCCTTTAGAAGTGACGCCAAGTCGAATCTCTCACTATCATTAAGAAATGCGAAGATGTCAATGTTAAGTCACCTGGAACCATTTACACAATAACTATTTCTCATAACATGTTGACCTTTTAACATATAAGATGTTTTTACTTGGATTGTTTTCAGTCTCATACCAGATCAGACTTAAACAGACTAGACGTAAACAGACCGGACCAGACCAGACTTTCGTAGTCATAAAATACAAAAAGACCTGACATTTACCAGACCATCCAGTTCAGACCAAACCAGACCTAAACAGACCAAACCAGACCAGACCAACAAATTATAGTCCAAGTAAAAACATCCATAATCTACGATGTCTATGATTTATTTGACTTCTTATAATTCAGGGTAGACCAATTAGGAAAGGTTTGTCATATTTACCCAAACTCTCAAGTTGTCTATCTCGGTGTGGATTGAATTATTAAAATATCCACATCCAATACTTGCTAGATTAGTTGCTGAAATGCAAATATGAGGCAAACTCTTCTTCTTGAAATGAATTATTAGAGATGCAATTGTCTCAATTTTGATATCAACCAATTTTGTTGAATTGGTTGAAATGAATATTTAAACATGCCCAATGTGTGTATGTCCCTTACCCATCATCTCTCAAAAAGGTTAGCCTAAGGCTGTTGTCCCCCTTTTGAGTAGAAGAAGAGTGTTCTGATGAATAGAGTGAAGCTTGATCAAGTTTGTCTAAATCAGCAGATGCCATTCGGCGGTGACTTGACGACACTATTAAGCCTTCCTCTAAATCTGCCGGATTGCGCTGACGGAGGATGAAGATGACCGCCACAATGGCCAGCACCGCTGACCCCACAACTATCCCTACAATAATTAACGTTGTCAGGGATAGTTCGGGGTTTAGAATGCAAGGATTTAAGGGCTCTCCACAAAGACCATTGTTTCCTGTTTCAAAATTTTAAACAAACCATAAGTATAATTATTATTCAATCGATTGAACTTAGGGGGTGTTTGGAACTAATTATGCTTCTTTTTCAAAAGCGGAATCAGAATCAATTTTTCAGAAACTGAGTAATCTCCCTAACTTATAAAGAAAATGCTTTTAGGAGCAATTTGGAGCACCAAAAAGTACTTATGCACTTTCACTCAAATACTCCAATATATGTTTCTGCTCCTTGAAGGAATAGAAATAGTTGTCAAAAGTAGATCCAATCACTCCTTAATGTCCAAAGCCCAAAGCATCTTATACTCTCTCTATCTCGGACTTATGACAAAACCAATTCTTCATTAGTTAATGTTGTCATAATATGTATATATGTACATGTTATTGCTAACAAATAATATCTACTTATTAACAAACTATCTTATAGTTCTATTGAATTGAAAAGGTCGAAAATGACAAAAAAAAAATGTAATACGAAATTATTATACCATACAAGTATTGTTGAGTTATTGTACGAATAGTATATGAGAATATTAAAGCGGGACTTAGAAAGTATTAGTTGGAGTTTTCAAAAAAGAAAGTATTAGCTCGACAAAATGTTAACATTAATAGAACATTCTCTCAAACTATAACATAGATTGAAATTTTGCACCTCAAATTACCTACGGGCTATTGTCCAGTTCATTGTTGGTAACTGAACAATAACACTAACTTCTAATTTTAGGCTATTTTCTATTTGGACATGCAGTTAACTGGTCAGTTTACTGTGTTGATAATTGATTGGTAGAGTTATTCCTGTTAACTGCATAAATAATACGGAGTACTTGTTTAAAATTAAAAATTAACATTGTTAGACCAATGTGTACTCAATTTGATGTATGCAAGTAAACTTTCCAAAATATTAATATAATTATTAAATATATAAGTTTTAATTAATATTACATCTCAACCTTAACTGTTTCCTTATTTTCTTGTTGAGTTATCTCATGTATTGTTGTTAAATGTCCCACACCGGAAAATTGAGAAGCATTAGAGTTCTATATTAAGCTTCGGGCTACGCCTCCTAACAGGTTGACCTTTTAGGATGGAACCCCGTGTCTTAACATGGTATCAGAGCCAAATCGATCCATGGTGTGGGGCCCCTTATGAAAATGACGACACGATAAAAAAAATGACGAACCGATGAAAAAAATGAATGACGACGCGATCCAGACGAAGTGTCTGGTCGTGAGGAGGGGTGTTAAATGTCCCACACCGGAAAATTGAGAAGCATTAGAGTGTTATATTAAGCTTTGGGCTACTCCTCCTAACAGGTTGACCTTTTAGGATGAAACTCCGGATCTTAACAATTGTTTAGAGCATCTCCTTAATTAATTCAAGGATTTCCTCTTTTGGATAGTATTTGTCCACAATGTCAAACACAACGTTTAGCTGTAAATATGTAAATATTGTGGTTGACATTGTATTCATCCGCCAGAATACAATGTCAACTTTATAATACCCTTCCGACTGAAAACGAAGCAAAACTTTTTGGATGAGAGGAACTAATATGGTAAACGTAAAATTACCCAAATAAACATGTTGAAAATGCCTTGAATGGTGTAGAATACTAAGACTTCTGAGGAAAATTTATTACATGACTGGTAATTTTCCCTTGTGAGAGAGTTATTCATACCTTGAAATGAAGAAACGCTGAAATGTGAAAGGGTTGTTGGGATTTCACCCTCAAGAGCATTGTTTGATAAATTCACAAATACCAATCTGGGAAGATGCAAAAAAGGTATTTTCCCATCAAACGCATTGTTTTCTAGCCTCAATTCCAAAAGCCTCTTGGCCACAACCAATGAGCCTGGAATAGGTCCCGTGAACTGGTTATTGGAAAGATAGAGCTTTTTTAACGACCGCATGCCGGAAAAGTAACTGTCCACAATCTCGCCGGAAAATTTGTTATGGGAGAGTTTGAGGTTTTTCAAGGTGCCAAGTCTATAAAAGGCAGGAATGTCACCTTCAAAGCTATTGTTCATTGCACTAAAGCTCCTAAGATCGGGCAACTCTGCTAGGGTATCGACATCAATGGTCCCGCCAAGTCCCTTGTCATTCAAGTTAATGCCATGCACGTGGCCATTCACGCAAACAACGCTTTCCCAATTGGCACTCCACCCCATGCATGGCGGAATAGAGGCGTTCCACGTGGACAGCGCGGCCGCATTGTCCAATGAGTCCCTGAATTGCAGGAGGATCTCCGCTTCGGATCTGCTTTGGCACCGAATGGGAAGGTGAAGGAGGAATACAACCAAGAGTAGGGGCATTAGTCGTGACGATATAGAAACATTGTATTGTCTGAGAGCCATGGCATAGGCGTTGCTGGTTCACGTAGTGCGCGCACTTTAGAAAAGTGCGCGCCCCAAGAAAGGGTGCTAGTTGTAACCCTCTCAATGATAGTATGCAAAATGTTGTGTCCCTAAGGAATGATCAAAAGGGAAATGGAATAATGTAAGCTTTAGGGGAGGGAAATAGGGTTGTGGTGTCTAGAGGATTGGAAGATTGAGAAGAAGATTTGGAATGGAGGGGAAATGGACAAATGGGTGGAGGGGAATGATGCAGAGACATTGTCCTCTTGTTTATTCATTGCCAATTTCTTTTCAAGAGAAACTTTAGGTTGGCCATTCAATTTGTATATATGTGTTAGTACTTGTCTTATTGTCTATGACACTCCAATTTGAATAACAAGGTCCATTCGCACTTTTTTGTTTTGTTTTGTTTTGATGTTCAGGTAACATGGAATTAAAGTGTATGATCGTTCTGATATACATTTTCGTATTAGGCTATTGATTCAATTTAAAGTTATAAACATTACAGAAATAATAGTTTTTCGTCCCATGCCATAGATGCAGTGCAGCATTAAAAGCATTTTTCTCATCTTGTAGTTTAAACTATATACAGATTTAGTTTTAATATAAAAAATTAATTTTATTGTTGTGGTGTCAAATAAATAAAATAAAAACTCAACAATCCCTTTTAGCTTATTGAACCATTATTGACGGGATTGAAAGTTTTTTTTAACTATTTAATGAGGTGGCACACTCAAAACAAGGACACATCACTAGTTTGTTACTTTGTTCGTTCAACCAAAGTTTTAGGAGATTTTTATTTTTAGTGACAACTCTGGTACTCATTTAAAAAATGGGGTACTGTACCTACCAAACATTTGATTGGTCCAAATCATTATATCTTATTTAATTTAGATTTAAATAATTCAACTAGATCATTTTGATTGGTCCAAGTGGACAAAAGTATGGTACCTTATGAGTACCATAGAATCTACCTTTATTTTTTTTATGAAAAAGCTTTAAGGACTTCCTATCCACATTACCTTTCCCCAGCATCAAGTATTTTACATTTTTTTTTACATTATCTTTCCCTAGGATCAAGTATTTTACATATCCAACTTTGTATTCTGATAATTGCATTGCTTCACTTAATGTAAAGGACGATGATAACAAGATAATATGACATATCTTCTTATTTTTGTCCATAACTTCCTTACCCTATGAGGCTATGATTACATAAAAAACCAAAACAATTCTTCAATTCATAATTAATTAAATTTCAACTCATATGAGGTATCTAAAATTTCAGACCTCAAAAAGAGGCAAATCCAAGTGGAGCATGGGAGTGGGTTGTGAGAGATGAAGAAGGTCTGTGTATTTGGACCTTGCGCCTGTAAGAAAACAGTAATGGTAGAACGGTCATCGAAGGAGACAGAAGCTATTGGAGTACAAAATGATGTCATGAAAACCATAAATCACCAATCAAATCTTCATTTGTATAACTACTTTCTTTTAGCAATGGTAAAACAATGTGAGTTCATCTATCTAAAAGCAAGGGATTAAAAAGCTTTTTTGGCATGGGGAGCGGCCGAGCGGGCTTTAGTCTATGGTGGCTCTATGCTGGCAATTGCGATAGTGCTCGTATGGATTCCCTACCTAGGTTATATCATACTGAGTGTGTCAATCTATGAGAAAGAGTGATCTAATAATCCCAAACCTCATTAGGATAAACTGCCCACATCGATAGCATACAGAATTGTTGGAGGTATTAGTCCTACCAAGGCCTCCCTTCCACTTTATTTGTTAAGGCTTGCACACTCTATTTTACTCTCTCTTGGATACCTTTCTCTGGTATATATCTTGATCAAATATATACCTTGATGAGTTGTTTTTCCTACTGGCTGGCCCCCTTTTGTTTGCTATCCGCTGCATCCTATTTTGTCTTGGCTTCTACATGTGACCTTCCCTTGTTTATATAGCATGTGAGTGTTTGTTGTTGTTACCTCACCCGTGACTTCTCTTCTAGCTGGCAGCCTAGTATTTGTACCCCTTGCTTCTAAACTCACTCCTTTGTGGTAGTTTGTTTTAGTTGATTAATTAAATTGCTTTGTGTTATTTCTTTTAATTGTTATGCGTAGGGGTGGTTTATTGGGTGGTAGGGGTAGAATTAATTAAATTTAATTTTTCTGCCCGGAATTGTTTAACTGTCAAAATGTCCATTTTTTGCTATGTGTTGTATGCTGCCCGGGGTTATTAAAGTGAATACTTTATAAACCGGGTTGACTTATTTTCTGCCAATTCTGCCTGTTTAGCTTTGTGTTCCTTTTGTGGTTGATACCATGGCTGCGAATCAGTATGGTATGCTTCCATTTAATGGAAAAACAGATTTTGATATTTGGAAACAGAAAATTAAGTGTGTTTTAATACAGCAAAAAGTTTACAGAGCTGTCACTGGTATTTTCCTTGAATCAGAAGATAAGGCTAAGCAAACTGAAATGAATGAAACTGCGTGTTCGACTATTTACTTGAATCTGTCTGATTCTGTGCTTAGGAAAGTAGGTATTCTTGAGTCCGCTAAGGAGTTGTGGGAGAAATTGGATAGTCTCTATACTGATACCTCTTTGCCCGGGAAGTTGTTCTTACCAGAGAAATTCTTTAGGTTTAGGCTTGACCTGACTAAGGATATAGATGAGAACCTGGATGTGTTTAATAAACTGATACAGAATATCAAACAGGCAGGTGATAAACACATAGACGATTATACTCCCATAGTATTACTTAATGCCATTCCCGACTCTTATAATGATGTTAAGTCCGCTATTAAGTATGGTAGGGATGAGATTTCGTTAGACATTGTGATGAATGGGTTAAGGAGTAAGGAATTAGACCTGAAGCATGCTAGGGGTAGTGCTAGTCAGTCTAGGGACTCCGGTGAGGCTATGTTTGTTAGGGGTAGATCTAAGGGTATGTCTAAGAATCCTAAGCAAAATAGTCAGGGTAAGAACGCTAGTCAGCCTGGGAGGAAGAGGAGTAAATCTAGGAAGAGAGTGTGTTACAATTGTGGTAACACTGGCCATTTCATTAAGGATTGCCCCCACCCTAAGAAGACCGAGCATGCTAGTGTAGCTGTTGATAAATGTGACCTTGGTGATATTTTGATGGTTTGTGACCATGTTAATTCTGTGAGAAATTCCCTGTCTGAGCATGAATGGTTGATTGACTCTGGTTGTACCTATCACATGTCCCCCTTTAGAGATTTGTTTTCTACATATGAATTATGTGATAGTGGCTACGTTTCCTTAGCTGATAATAAGAGATGCAATGTGCTTGGTGTTGGTGATATATGTCTGAAGTTTTCTTGTGGCTCTGTGTTTACCATTAAGAATGTGAGGCATGTCCCTGATTTGTGTCATAACTTGTTATCTGTTGCTGCTTTGGAGAGTAGTGGGTTACAGGGAAAATGGGGGAATGGTTGTATGAAAATCCTGAAAAACTCGCTTGTTTTGTTTAAAGCTGAGAAGGTGAATAACCTTTATGTGTGTCATGCTAAACCTTTTGCTGAGTCTGTGAATGTTGTATGTTCTGATAAGACCTCTTTGTGGCATAATAGGCTAGGACATATGAGCAATAAGGGTTTAGATGTCATGCGTAGGGCTGGTTATTTTGGTAAGGACTCTGTGACTTATGTGCCTTTCTGTGAATCATGTGTGTTAGGCAAGCAGCATAGAGACAGTTTTCCTCCTTCCTCTTACCCTAATCTGTCTAAATGTTCGTCTGTGCTTGAATATGTTCATGCCGATGTTTGGGGTCCTGCCAGTGTTCCTACCCACGGGGGTAGGAAATATTTCCTTTCTATTATTGATGACTTTTCTAGGAAGGTGTGGGTTTGCCTTTTAGAACACAAGTCTGATGTGTTTGTGAGGTTTAGGGAGTGGGAAACCCTAGTTGAAAACCAAACTGGCAGGAAGGTTAAAACCCTTAGGACCGATAACGGGTTAGAGTTCTGTAATAAGGAGATGGATAAGCTGTGTGTGGATTGTGGGATAAAAAGGCACAAAATTGTGCCTTATACTCCCCAACAGAATGGGATAGCAGAGAGAATGAATAGGTCTCTGTTGGATAAGGTTAGAAGCATGTTAGCTACCTCTGGTTTGTCTAAGAAATTCTGGGGTGAAGCAGTCACTACTGCTGCCTATTTGGTTAATAGGTCCCCGTCTGTCCCTCTTGGTGGTAAGTGTCCTGAAGCCGTCTTTACCGGTAAGCCTCTTGATCTGTCTAACCTTCGGGTGTTTGGTTGTGCAGCGTATGCACATCAACAGGGTGACAAGTTGGATCCTAGGTCTAAGAAATGTGTCTTCCTAGGTTATCCAGAGGGGGTAAAGGGTTACAGGTTATGGGATAGGAACCAGGTAGGCTTTAAAGTGGTCCTTAGCAGAAATGTGGTGTTTAATGAAACTGATTTTCCTTGCTTGACCAAGTCTGTTTCTGATCCTGAGTCTAGGTCTGATAGTACTCCTAGTGAGGTGGAGTCTGTCCCTGTTGCTGCTAGTCCTTTGTCTGTTGATCCTGTTATTACTGATGATATTGTTATGCATGATTCTGATTCCTCTGAGCATGATAGTCCCACCACCTCGAGTGAGGTGGAGCATTTGCATGATACTGAGCATGATTTGCATGATATGGGTGCTGAATCTGATTTTCATGATAACAATAATTTGCATGAGTTGCATGTGGAGCCTAGTAGTGATAATTTGCATGATTATCAACTTGCTAGAGATAGGAGTAGAAGGGCTATCAGGAGAACTGCTGATAGTATGCCTGATTATGCTTTCATTGTGCATGATACTTCTATGTTTGCATTTTTTGTGTTTGAATCCCTAGAGCTGAATGAACCCAAGACCTACCATGAAGCCTTAGGTTCCAAAGAGTCTCAGAAATGGATTAGTGCCATGAAAAGTGAGATGGACTCTTTGAGAGTGAACCAGACTTGGACCCTTGTACCTAGACCCCCCAACTGTTCGGTAGTTGAGTGTAAGTGGTTGTTTAAGGTTAAGGAAGAACCTAGTGATGTTAGGTTTAAGGCTAGGTTGGTTGCGAAGGGGTTTACTCAAAAAGAGGGGGTAGATTATGCAGAAATCTTTGCTCTTGTTGTTAAATTCACCACTATTCGTATGATGCTTGCTTTAGTTGCTCACCATGACTGGGAAATGAAACAAATGGATGTAACTACTGCATTTTTGCATGGTGAATTGGACAAAACAATTTATATGACCCAGCCTGAGGGCTTTGTGGATCCCAAGAGAAGTGAGCATGTCTGTTTGCTTAGGTTGGCATTGTATGGCTTGAAGCAATCCCCTAGGCAGTGGAACATCAAATTTGATAAATGCATGATATCTTTGAAGTTCCAAAAATTTGTTTGTGATCATTGTCTGTATTTCAAGAATACTTCTTCTGTGCCTGTATTTTTGTTACTCTATGTGGATGACATGCTGATAATTAGTCCTTCTCTGAATGCTATTAAAGATGTGCAAAAATGTCTTTGTGCGAATTTTGCCATGAAAGACCTAGGTGATGCCAAGAGGATCCTAGGCATAAACATTGTTAGGGATAGGAGTAAGCTTACTCTTACTTTGAATCAGATTTCTTACATAGAAAAAGTTTTGAGTAAATTCAATATGTTATCTGCTTCTCCTGTTAATGTCCCTATGGCTTCTCACTTTGTGTTAAGTAAGGACCAGTCTCCCAAGACTGCTCCTGAAATTGAGAAAATGAAATATGTGCCTTATTCCAGCGCAATAGGGTCGGTGATGTATCTTATGGTTAGCACTAGACCTGATATTGCATATGCGGTTAGTTGCTTGAGTAGATATATGTCCAACCCTGGTTTGCCCCATTGGAATGCTCTTAAGTGGTTGCTTAGATATCTGATTTCTACTGTGAAGCATGGATTAATTTTCTCTAAGTGTGCTAGTGGTATTGAATTGATTGGTTATGTTGATTCTAACTATGCAAATGATAGAGATAACAGGAAGTCGACCACTTCTTATGTTTTTACTTTGTGTGGCTCTTGCATTAGTTGGAAGTCTCAACTACAGCCTATTGTGGCCCTTTCTACCACTGAGTCCAAGTATGTTGCAGCCACAGAAGCGTTTAAGGAAGCCATCTGGCTCAAACGCCTTGTCTCCGAAATTGGGTTTCTCAAAAAGGGAGTTACCATTTTCTCGGATAGCCAATCGGCTATTCAACTTTGCAAAAAACCTGTATTTCATGATAGAACTAAGCATATTGATGTTAGGTTCCATTTCATACATGATATTGTTGATGCAGGTGGAGTCAAGCTGTGCAAGATCCCGTCCGAGTTTAACCCCGCGGATATGGGTACCAAGTGTCTTTCTGCTGAGAAACACTTGTCCTGTAAACGCGTGTTAAACTTTGATTGTGGATAACTGTGGGTTGCCTAATAAAGTGTTTGCCCGTTGTGTCTTTTGATATTCCGGGTGACCCGACGATGATGAGTCTTGTCACAACTTTGTATTGTTACTCTACACCACCTAGGACCAATAAGGTGGAGAATGTTGGAGGTATTGGTCCTACCAAGGCCTCCCTTCCACTTTATTTGTTGAGGCTTGCACACTCTATTTCACTCTCTCTTGGATACCTTTCTCTGGTATATATCTTGATCAAATATATACCTTGATGAGTTGTTTTTCCTACTGGCTGGCCCCCTTTTGTTTGCTATCCGCTGCATCCTATTTTGTCTTGGCTTCTACATGTGACTTTCCCTTGTTTATGTAGCATGTGAGTGTTTGTTGTTGTTACCTCACCCGTGACTTCTCTTCTAGCTGGCAGCCTAGTATTTGTACCCCTTGCTTCTCCCATTGTGAAGCAGCCTGCGAGATATCCAAGTGAGAGCAGAGCTCACTTCTTCTTCCTCCTTTGTGTGAGTGTAGAGAGGTCTTTGTGAAGAGTAGAGAGTTGTGTGATATAGCCTCCTCTTGTGTGGTGTGTGAGAGTGTGTGTTGAAAGACCTGAGCCGGAGACGGATATACGATCCTCACAAGAATAAACCAGTCAGGACTCAGGAGATGGGAGGAATGACCATTCGTGCAGGGCCGGTCCTGTCCAGTTTCGGACTTATGAGCGATATACTATTTTGAGCTTATTTCCAAGACAAACATTAAATTATACTCCTTCCGTCCCGCAAAGAAGTTCCCGCTTTCCATTTTAGCAGCTCCAAAAAGAAGTTCCCATTTCCATAAATGGCAAGTTATCTATATCAAAACAGTGCAAAACAGTGCCAAACAGTGTTGAAACAATGTCAAAACAGTAAAATTTACCCCCTAGTAAATTTATTTCCTTAATATGTGTATGTCAAACCGGGAACTTCTTTGCGAGACGGAGGAAGTACTACTCAAAGTAAAAATTACGGAGTATAATAAAACTAGGAGAAATTACTCTAAGTACAACTAAAAACGTTTGTATATTTCAAACTAAGATTATCATGTTTTTATTCTCTAAATAGAAGTAATTAATGTCATATTTTGGCAGTACCATATTTTACACATGGTAGTATTTTCCGAACATGACAATAATTACTCCTATTCAGAAAATAAACACATGATAGTTCTATTTTGAAATTCTAAAAAAAACACATGACTTACAACCAACTCTATTTAGAAATCAAAACAAAATTTATATTCTTTTTAAAAACTTGTCTAGTTTTGTTTAAGACTTTTTACTTATGTTTTAAAATTCTCAAATTGTCAACAAAAATTACACATTAGATCTAATTAATTAATTGAAATTATAAATAAAAAAAAGAAGCCTACTCATATTACATATAAAGAAAAAAAAACTTGGGCCTATTTTTCTTTCTACTTTTTTCGGGCCTAAGGCGGTCGCCCCTGCTGCCCTCCCCTAGGACCGGTCATGCATTCGTGCAGGCCCTTTGCTGCTCTGCAAGCAGGATTAGCGGCCATAATGCAATAAATTGTCAAACACAGCTCCATCTATGATATTGCTGCTCACTAGCCAATCTACCACTGCAATTTAGGGGGTTCCAACATCAAGTCGGACAATTTTCACGTCTCTGTTAGTGATCTCATCAGGGGATCAGACAGTTTGTACCATCAAACTCCGCATAACCAACATCCACAAGGCAAAGGCCATCTGGCGGTGCAGGTGGAGCAGTGGCACGCCTGCAAGTAGCACCCATCAGCTTCAGTAATGCATCATCATCTGCACCAGCAACTGCTTCCCTTATTACTGTTGCAACTAATACCCTAACCATCTGCCAAATCAACCGAACCCCATCAGAATGTCACTGCTTAAGAACATGTTCTTACTTAGAGAAGCATGTGAGAGAGAGAACACTCCACACTTCCAATGTGGAATCAACACATAAAAGTATAAAACAATAATGCTACCATATTTCAAATCTTGCCCCACTTTCCTTTTGGGAAGTTAGTTGCTTAACCTCTTTTTTTGGTAATGTAATATACTATCTGTTTTCCTTCGTGGTATCGGAGCAACTATCTTATGCCCCTTTTTCGTTTTCCTTTATTTTTTCGGGCATCTTATTTCCCATGAACATTGCAGTAGTTATTATTGTGTTACTTTGTTACATGGTCAAAGCCAAGGAGGAACTAGGACCGATTACTCATGTAATAATGATTATTAGATCCTCCAATAATAATATTAATAATATATGCTACAAGTTTCTATTAACTGTAGTAGTAGACTCATCATGTACTCCAAAAGTAATAGGACAATTCATAAATTCGGACTCCAAAACCATGAGCATAATTCATAAAGCAATTAGAATATTAAATATGACTCAATCCCCCAAGTCTAAATGTATGCATTTGTCTAGACTTCTGCCACTCATTCCCAAGTTCCTTAATCCTCAATTCCTAGTTGCTAGTAATCCTTGGCTTTAAGATTGCTGTTACTCAATTTCCCTGCACACTATTTTACGTCATATTTTGTCCTGAAGTTTTCATACCCATAAACAAATGATAGGAACCCACTTATTAGACTAATATTAGAAGTAATAATAATAATATTAATAATGAGGGTCTGTGAGTATTCTAGTATAAATAGACGGGAAGAGGGAGTAGTAAGGGGCTTTTTTGGACTTTGGTCTGGGACGGAAAGATTAGAGAGTTATTTCGCTTCTCTTTTGGGAGGCTTCGGCATTGGTTACTGTTGCTGTTCATCTTCTTCAATAAAGATTTCCATTGTTTCTTGATATAATTTCTGCAATTTCTGAATATTCTGGAGGGGTCCTATCACTTGGCTAGTAAGAAGAGTCAAGAGTCCAAGTATCTTGACTGAGTGATTGATATCAACTAGGGAGGCTACTCAGAATGCTCTGAGTCAGAGAGTAGCAATCACTCGCCCAGTACTCACCATCTTAATAGCTTAGATTTGGCCAAACCAACAGCACAGCAAGGTTCCTAACACTGCCGCAACCCTTGGCCTGAAATGTTGCTGCCAGACTGTTGGCCACTCCAGGCAAATCTTTGACTGAACTGCATTTTTATCAAGATCTATCTGTTATGATCTCCCTGTTCATGTTATATCTCGAGGGTCCTGGTCCAGTAGCACTTAACTCAGTAGTGCTTTCCAGTAATTTCTAGTGACTATTGATCGTTGAATAGTTCGACACGTCACGACACCTGGTCCAGGTTTTTCATGACTCTCCTTTCCATATTGTGTTCAAGGCTATGACATCTCTAAGTCACAATCATAACGAAACGTATAAGGTAATCTAACATTGTGTGATATTACACTCCCTTCAAACCAAAGATCATTTGATATACCCCGAACAAGACAATCCTTAAGGTAATTGCAGAAGTAGGACTTTGTGCAGCACAATCAACAAAGATCAAAGATCCAGTCTAACCTTGCGTAAAAAGCGATTGGCAACCAACTCAATGCACATTGCTTTTGTATGACTCCCATCCTACATTTGAATTCAGAAGATTGGAGATTTTGAGCCATAGACTAATAGTACAAAAGAACAAAATTGAACTGCCATAATAATCATATACTGAAGAACTTATGTTAACCATCTTTCCATAAAATACAATGCCAAGAAAAAGAGTCACAACACACAGCAAGTTCAAGGACACAGGAATGGGACAAGCCATAAAAGAAACTAGGACAATCCTTAAGGTAATCTAACATTGTGAAACTGGTTACTTGGGAAGTTTCAAAAAGCACTTCTTTACCAAAAAAAGGTCTATATATGTATCCACAGTACTGACATATATCTACACTACAATACTATATAGACATACTATTTTGAAAAACCGAAACCACAAACTAGGAAAAAATACTAACACTTCAGCTAATATTTTAACAAGTCAAATCTTAGATTGACTATTTATCATAGATGTAATGGGCACAGCAGTCAAAATAAATTCACTAATATACAAATTGCATGTCCAATTCCTACAAAATCATATCTCATAATGATGGAATTGCAAGCATCTAGAAGAGAGATACACACACACATAGATCTTCATCATACAGCAATCCAAAAAGTACTTTCAAGTTCAGGATGACTATCACCCAGACAACATAGGACTATGACATAGATGGTAGTACAACTCCAATTCATTAAATGTGAACTAAAACTGGCAGACCTTGGCACATGGCAATGACGCCTCCATAGCTCGGGCATGGTAAACAAAGCACTCTGTTGGTGGACCGCTGCAGAGCACATAAAGATAACTTTCAATGATTGTATAGGTTATCAAGATCTGATAATCAAAAGGAGGTGAACTTGTAGCACACCTTACAATGAAACTTACCAAATCAAACACACAGCTATTACACATAATACATTTTAACTCAGCATTTTCCCTTTGATGAAAATCATCAGTCATATAGTTATAACCAAATGTTCAACTAATAAAGCGGATATTATTAATTGATTCTAGAGAATATTACCCGAAATAGGACTAAAAAGGTTTTAAATTCCAAAAATAAGACTATCATGTTTTTATTCCCAAAATAGGACTAATTACTGTCATGTTTTGGCAGTACCAGACTTCAAACATGGCAGTATTTTCGAAACTTGGCAGTAATTACTCCTATGTTGGGAATAAAAACATGGCAGTCCTATTTTGGAATTTTCAAACTCTTTTAGTCCTATTTCGGGAACTTTCCCTTGATTCTAGTGGCACTAAACTTCAAGTTTTTCTTTTTGATCAGTTTAAATATAATCTTCTTCTTTCCTTTTTAAAGAAATAAGTGGCTCTCATCATTTCAATCATTTCTACCAAAATCTCCACCACTTGTGTTACTTTTCAACCACTTTAATAAGCATGTCAACCCCAACCAAGAAATTTATTTTGGGACAGGCGGTACTATATTAGACAATCAATGAGGATACAATAAAGATATTTCGTAATATACAGCAAACTTTTTTTATATTAAAAACACTTATCTGTGTGAGCGCACGAATGTGCGAAATTGCACTTCTAGACCAGCACACTGCACTTTTATGTTTTGAGAAATGCATTTTTTTGCAGTGGCAGAAAATCCGGTTTAATTACAAATGCGCACACACACATACATATATATATACATATATAAGAGAATCATTGTAAAAAGAATGCAATAGGATATTGTATTAAATTACATGTTCCTTGAAGGTTTGGTATCCCGTGCAAACATTTTGTAGGACAGAAGCTTTCCTTCTATTTGGCGCAGTAAGTGGTTCACGCGGCTTACTTCAAAACCAGTAGGTTTGTTGCCAGGAACTACTTCATCCTTGGCATTTCCTATTGCACATGCATTGTTTTCTTCAGCGAAATTGCCAGCACATTGTTGTTCCAAATTTTCAGCACATTGATTCAGTTGATGAGCATCAGAAGAGTACTTATCTGCAACATCCTTCCTGTGTTGCCAGACCAGCTCTTCCTCTAAAGGGAAGATGTACAGGTATCGCCTCCACTTGGCAGAAAAGTTAGGATGGAATTCTCTTGAGACCTATATCATGTTAGTAATCATGCTTAACATTTCAAACTATAACAAATTAATCATTATGAACTAAATGATATAGAATACATAAAGTCTTTTGAACTATTAGTAATAAATAAAAGGATTTTTATCAATCCAGGACCTGAAAGATAGACGAATTATCAATCCGGGACCCGAAAGATGAAATGTATCAGTATAGAACCCGAATGATGGAAAACTATCAATCTAGGACCCGAATGATAGGAAACTATCAATTTAGAACCTAAGTTTTCATAATTTTTTACTTTTTTCATTTTAAAAAAAATAAATAATATTTTGTTTTATTAAACTAAAAAACTTTTGTGAAGAAAAATTCACCAAATATTAGCAATGGAGTTAGTAAAAAATTAAATACATCAAAACCTATGAAATGTTAGGTCCTAGATTGATAGTTTTTCATTATTCAGGTCCTATATTGATACATTTCATCTTTCAGGTCCCGAATTGATAAAATTCTTAAATAAAAATTTGCCTATGCGGCATATTGTGCAAGAAGAGAACACAAGCTAAATGGAGGTTAGAGTACCTTAGTTGCAGAAACTACCCTTATCGTCCCTGGTGATATGCTATTTATAGCATCTGCAATGTCTTGAACCTTAACGTCCTTTCTCCAAGTATCTTGACACAGTAGCAAAAGAGTTAAGCTACTCCAAGTTAATTCCAAATGGCAACGTTACCACAAGAAAATAATAATCTTCAAATATACTCATCAGTCCCATATTATCTTGACACAGTAGCCAGTATGAATGACAAGGCTTTAGGTAATTACAATGTTATTTGTAAATTACAACTCTTGCCGGGAAATTTGGAACTGTTTTGCATATATACCTTTTATCATACATGTGTTCTGTTGGCAGGTATGTGCTACTACAACACATTGCCTCTCTCTGTCTATGTGTATATACAGTTATACACCCACACAAACATATACATTGGTGACAGGTTATAAGAGAATCTTAAGTTACGTAGAGATTAGGAACAGATTTTGATCATTAATAAGGGTAATCTGATTACATGATGGCAGTTCCATAAACATGTGAGACTTTCAGTGAAATTTGCATCTCTTAATAACACAATGTACAGTGAAATTTCCTTAAAAATGTAGTGGCAGTTTCATAAACAAGTGGAACTTCAACTTGCATAGCTGAATAATTTAGATGTAGTTTCGTAAGACGTGATCCAAATAGTGACAAGTTATGACCAGATAAGTCGGAAGACTCCGAACAACCCAATCTATCTCGTTTTACACTTCTACTGATCAAGATTAACGACAGCTGCTGGATGAAAATAAAAGTAACTTTTCATAAACATCAGGGGCACAAAAGTAGGTTTGCGAAACCTTGTGCAAGAGAGAAGTCGCCTTTAAGTCTTTAAAGGAGGCTAACAGCACGGCATCCAACAGTGTTTGTCAAACCCTCAAAGGCACAAACAGAAGTAGGTTTCCTGACTTTCCTCAGGCATGAGGCGCACCATAGCAATTCGCTATATAACTCTTAAAAGTGTGTTGCCCTAAATAATTTCTCAACATACCAAGCCCCTATCAATTTTTGTGCAACCTAACGTTACATATTACACTCGTGAACAAGCAGAGTGAAGCTGCCATGACATATTCTAACATACCATTAAATGTGGTTTTGGGGTGTGATCTTCTACAAATTTGCAGTATCATTAGTATTGGAGTTTTGGAGATTAAATCATTTGGACATGCAACTAATCATATAACTTGAGTCTTCAGGTGCTATAGTATAGAGATTGGTGGTTCAACTTCACGAAAATATGATCGCTATTTCATTTCATCATAAAAATATACAGTTAATATTCCCTCCTACTCATATTGTTAAATCTACTTTCCTTTTTTAGTTGTCATAGTATTGTTATTACTTTTCTAATTTAAACGCCGTGAACTTTACCTTTCTCAATTTATCATTTTTTTACCTTTCTCAATTTAGCATTTTATCTATATTTCAGACTTTTCACATTGGGTCCCCTTCTCTTTTATTTTCTACTTTTCTCAAACGGGCGAACATTGAAAGTAAATTACATCTGATGTGAATTCCTTAAAAAATGTGTCGAACACATATGAACCTTACTATATGGGACCACATAGTGAGTAACCTTCAAATTTATAGCATCATTTAAAGTAACCTCAAGATATCAATCACACATATCCTTGTGATGATTTACATTAGTCTGTAAATGGTAAGAAAAAAGCAAACAAAAGGAACGACTCAGATTCATGGTTATTCACGCAACATTATAGACAAGTGCATGGAGGTGGTGATTAAACAATTGGGACAAACAAGAAATGGAACCACACAAGAAATAATGAAGAACATACAGAAAGAACAGACTTGTTGACAGGCTGAAACCCCCTTATCAGTGCGCCCAGCAACTACAGCACAACCTTCTAATGGTAAGTTCTTATCCATTAGTTGTTGAGCTTTTTTGTCATCAATAAATTTTCCAAGAGCTTTTTCAACCAATCTGGTAAATAGGGCATTGAAACACCACTAAGAATACAACAAAAACTTCTAGCCAGTTCAAATTATTCATGATCTTCAAATAGTGTTTGCTCTAGATTCTTTCACAGATTACTGAATAAGCATCTAATAAGTGTTGGAAGAAAAACAAAAAAAAACACAAAACCCTTAAAATTGAAGATACCTTGTCATCACGAAACACATAAACACATAAACACACCAACACATTATATTTACTCATCTAATGTAAAACAATTGCATGAGAGTACACCAAGAGAAATGTTCTGATCCTTATTTTTTTTAAACATGGGTAATCTTTCACAAACTGCACGTTTCACATGACAACTTCTACTCCAAAGCTTAAAAGCACTCTTACATAAAATCAATACTCCCTCCGTCCCTTAAAACTTTGCCAACTTTCCTTTTTTGGATGTCCCACTAACTTTGTCACTTTCCCTTTTAAGCTTAGTTTTAAAAGGTGCGAGGCGGCACGAGGCGTTTTCATTGATTTACCCGAGACACGAGGCGCAAAGCGACAAGGCGTTTGCCTCACGGATCTTAACATCATATCTTTTGTAAAATATGTTTATACTATTTCTAAGTCTTCTACCTCATCTCAAAAAATGATAAGATCACAATTTTTGGTTCCAGTTAATTCTTTATTCTTTCTCCTCTGCCCAATCATCAATCACACAGTTTTTACTTTATTAATCCGCGTACCGGTCAAACTTGGCAAAGTTTTAACTTTTTAAGGGACGGGGGGAGTATTTTGGATCATTCCGGAGTAGTCATTCTATGATCCCATGTGACAACTCAAGAAAACACATGGAAGCAAATGCTCATGCCACAAATCAACATTACTAGTCATAATACTATGAAAATATCACCATCACAATTCAGTGCACACGCTCACACAACAAACATACTTGGCAAATTGACCACACACTAGGTAATGAATGCCTGAAATTAGTTAAAAATATAATCTCAAGCACGGCAGGAAAGTGGCAGTAAAAAATATCATGATTTTGGTAATGGTCATTTTCTGCGAGAGTAAATTGAGTAGAAGCATACTCCTGAACAGTATTAAGACCCGGCTGCTTCTGCCAGCCACCGAAGGAGGGCCCATGATATGATAGCACTATCTTAAATGTCACTCTTGCCCATCTTCCAGTCCTATCTTCAACTGGAAAGCTACCCACTGCAGATTCCACAGTATATTCTTTAGTTTTTGCTTCATCTTGAATGGCAGGGATCTGTAGCAGAACCTTTTTTAAATGAACATCATAATATAACAAAAAAAAAAACTTTGTAAGAGATCATGTAATATCAAATAGAAAAACTAATGCATCTAAAATATAGTGGTAAATACTCTAGGTTGTGACTGGCAAAAAGAGATGAGTAGCTAGCTGATAGGTTTATAAGATAATTAAAAGCTAATAGCTAATAACATAAAGTTTATAGCTGAAAACTAGCCGATATTAATATAATTTTTGAAAAAGTAGGTATAAGCTAGCTTCAAAATACAGGGTAACACAAAGCGGTATGTTTAGAATAATTCTAAAATGAGAGGTAAAAAATGGAATTATGAACCAAGAGCTCATGGAGTTTGAAGCTTATTCAAAGAACTAGAGCATATCAAATTAGCTCTCTAGTGATAGGACTGTCTAGGGTTTCAGAAGAAATACAGAGAATTAACAAGAACAATGGCAAACTTTATTAGTGTTAACAAGAAAAGATTACAGGAAATCAATGGCCGAAGCCCCCAAATGAGCCGAAGCCCCCAAGAAAGAGAGAAACTCTCGATCTCCCAAGTCCCAGTCTGACAAATGTCTAAACAGCCTACCTCCCTTTCCCCCCAGCCCATTCTATTTATACTAGACTTTATTTTTATTATACTCTATTTGGACCGGGCCCCTAACAATTCTCCCCCCCTAAACATCCACCTTGCCCTCAAGGTGGGTGATAGGACACAGCCATAATCCTTTTATTTTCTTTCATCCTAGCACTTCTTCCTTTCCAATATTGGCATGATTTCAGGACCCTTAGCTTGGCTGATTCCATCTTCTTACCTATACCTTTCAAAACAGATTTACACTGCTGCCAGGATGTTTTATCCAGAATTTTGACTCTTTCTGATTCCTTGAAGGTTAGGGCCCCGTTTGCTGCAACACCAAATACATCAACTTCCTGCTCTTGAGCACTTCCTTCTGAAATATCTATATATAACCCATGGGATTTCAGCAATTTTCCTTCTCCCTTCTTGTCAGTTTTCAGTTTTCTTAATAAGGGATCTCCGTTTATATTTGCCTTCTGCCCAAATACTTCCCATTGGATGGTTTGATTCTGAAAGTTGACTGCCATATCTCCTAGGCCAGCTAACCAATCCATTCCTAGCATGACCTCAACTCCACCCAATTGCATAATGTAAAATTTCTGCCGAATTTCATTTCCTTGTACATCCACTGTCAGCCCATCACACCTACCATAGATGAAAAGGAATTCTCCATTCCCTAGCTGCACTTTATGCCTTTTTATGTAAGCAAAAGGTATCTTCCAGGCCTCCACAATCTCCTGTGAAATGAAATTATGAGTCGCTCCACAATCAATCAAAATATTCACCTTCTTTTCCTCATTCAGCCATTTCAGAATTCCCCTGACATGGAATGTTCTCATGGTTGGTGTTCCTTCCTGGTCCACAACAGATAATTGCAAAGTTTTAGCTTCCATATTTATTCCTTCTTCTCCTTTATCTTTACTATAATCAGATTCCTCCTCACCTTCAGATTGTTCTACCAACATCACTGAAAAATTTTTCATTCTGCATACGTGACCCCTATTCCAGTTTTCGCCACACTTGAAACATAACCCCTTCTTACTTCTTTCTTGCAACTCATTCTGTGATAATCTGGGACTTGTCTTCATATAAACAGAACTTGATCCTTCTTCCAGCTTCTTGTTACCGTCTGAGTTCTTCACCAATGGATTTGTAGATGCCAGATTATAACTAATTCGACTACCAACTTCCCCTTTAAGATAGCTCTGTCCTGTTCTCTTTCTTTCCTCCTTATCCTTCACATATAGGGTTTCATAATTCTTCTTTTCAATTGCAGAAACTGTATCCATCACTGCTGCCAATGTTCTGGGACGATGTAACTTCAATTCTGCTCTTATATCTCTTCTCAATCCTTTAAGAAAGGCTCCTTTCAAAACTTCTTCAGTTAAATGGCCTTGTGAAGCGATAGCCTTTTCAAATTTATCTCTGTAATCCTGAATTGTTCCCTTCTGCTTTAGGCTAAACAGAGGTCCTAGCGGATCCTGTACCAGATCAGGTTGAAACCGCTTACTCAAAGCTTGAGTAAAAGTACTCCAATTCTGCTGCAATGCTTGTCCCTCCCACCACTGGAACCAGCTTAAGGCCTGGTCTTCCATGGCTACGACGGCAACGTCAATCTTATCCTCTTCTTCAGTCCTATTCAAGCGGAAGTAGCGGTCCATTCTGATTAACCATCCGCCGGCGTCTTCCCCATTGAAAAGAGGTAAATCGATTTTCCTTCCTATCGGAGGATGATTTCGATTATACCTGTGGTGATCGCGGTGTTGATGTCGATGTGAAGGAGAATAGTCCGAATTGTTTTCGGATCCTTCTGAACTGGTTGCTTGTCGCGAACGATGATGGAGAGTTGAACGATGATGGTGATGACTCGAAGTGTGATGCGATGCAGATGATCGATGCGATGCAGATGAGCGATGCGATGCAGATGAGCGATGCGACCTACTGCTGGATCGATCTTTGGTATCCAACCTGGCCATAATCGCTGTCAACATCTCCGTTGTCCGTTGATGATTCCGATCAACTTTCTCTTCCAGTCGGTTGTGATGATTTTCCAACTCAGTCAACCGCAAATCCATTTTCGTCCTCGTCCAGACCATCCACAGAAGCTACCTCTCTGATACCAATTGATAGGACTGTCTAGGGTTTCAGAAGAAATACAGAGAATTAACAAGAACAATGGCAAACTTTATTAGTGTTAACAAGAAAAGATTACAGGAAATCAATGGCCGAAGCCCCCAAATGAGCCGAAGCCCCCAAGAAAGAGAGAAACTCTCGATCTCCCAAGTCCCAGTCTGACAAATGTCTAAACAGCCTACCTCCCTTTCCCCCCAGCCCATTCTATTTATACTAGACTTTATTTTTATTATACTCTATTTGGACCGGGCCCCTAACATCTAGCCAAACAAAGCTTATTAAAGAAGCTTTCTCAATAAAATTACAAGCTCTTGTGGTGTGACGAAAGGCCCGAAGCCCCGAACTATGTAGATTGTAGACCAATAGCCAATAGCTCATGGTCCTTATTGAAATTAACTAATGCATACCTAACAAAACATGTCACCAACCCTTCATAATTATTTCGTATCTAAATTTCATTATTTCCTTATACATAAGCTAATAATTTCCATCATTTTCAATGGAGCCAAAGACACTATTTTTTGGCTCAGGAATATGATGGAATAAAGCGGAGTGGCTCACTAAACTGTCTGCGCTATTTTGTGATGGAGCAGCAGTCAGTCCATGCAATTTTCGACGCGATTTTCACTATGGATCATCCGGAAACAGTCTCTCTGTGCTTTAGTATCGGGGTAAGACTGCGTACATCTGATCCCTCCTTAATCCACCATAGGTGGGAGCCTTTGCGGCACTGGGGTAATGATAATGATGAATGACTTAAGCTAATAATATACAAACATATATATATAAAAGAGAGAGAGAGAGAGTAATGATCCTGTCTAGCCGGATGGACAGGATCTTCTGTCCGGCCACCGCTGTTTGGGGCGGTTACCGGTGGAATTTTTTGACGAATTTTTAGCATGTTCTTAATGAAGTGCAAAACATCCCCCAAAAATTTTATCTTAAAATTCAATCGCAAAGTCAGCCAAATAAATTATTGAAAGAACTGTGCAAACTACATATATATAAGCAAAATGTTTTTCAATAATTTATTTAAATCTGAAATTTTGTGGGCATTATCTATACTTCATGAAGAACATGCTCAAAAACTTTATAAAACAAAAACCCACCAGGAAACGCCCCAAAAACAGAGGTGGCCGGATGGAGGATCCTGTCCGGGCGGCTGGATAGGATTCTTTTCCTATATATGTATGTATGTATGTATATTCAAACTTTCCCTTTTACGCTCATGTGTGTGTGTTTGTCTTTGTACTCAAAATTTTCATTCTGTACTTCATAATTTGGAGCATATGCTAAATGTTAGAGCATATATGTGAATATAAATTAGAAAGTTGCAAAACACATCATATGGGAATACAAATTATAAAGTTGCAAAATTTCAAAATTATCAAAGATACAAATAAAAAATTGGCATACACGTATTTTTGCAACAAATATGCTCAGCTAAGTTATATTCTCCAAACTATGAATTTTTGTTCAAAATGTTTACCTCTCTTTGAAACACTGCTTCCAAATTCGACTGGCCTTTCACCATTTCTGAATAAAATTCAGCAACTCTATGCCATTTCCTGGCAGACATGAACTGGTAACATTCCCTGCCAACATCAGTTGTTGCATATAGATAGATATGCAATGTGAATTTTCACACAGATTTGGTATAAGTATTTTTACAAGACTTCTCAACAAAGTTGGCCCAGTTCTGTATCATTTAAGCCTCATTTTCTAGTACAAATTTATACCAAGTAATTAAAAATGATGTTAAAAACTTCTTAAGATTATAACAAGTTATGGATTACAGTTTCAGAAACTCCATAGGCAATGAGGCATACCCAGCAACAATATGCATAACACCATCAAAATTGTAAGTCCAAACATTACACAGTATCAAATTATAGCCTAAATGCCTCATCCAAAAACAAGTTGACATTCATTATATTGAGAAATGGAAATAGGGTTATCAGTGTGGGCTCCAGGATGGCATACTTAGGTCTTGACTGCTCCAATCTCATTAGGCTATTAAAGTGGCTCATATGTAGTTTAAAAATTAAATTAGTGTTGCAGGCCTTATGGTGCTATGCTACTTTGCCAGCCTCCTATAACTGAAAAAATCACCATTCTGATTTTTTATTATTAGTATATGTATCAAATGTAATTTTTTAAGACATAACCCTTTATTAAGTGTAATTCTTTAAAACATTTTCGAGAAGAAGAAAGGACGGCGTGGGCATAAATTTACTTGGTTGTCCATCTGGAGAATTTGCAGGAATCATCGTGGTTATAGTGGTGAACCTTCTTCAGAGACTCCTGATGATTTTCCATCGTGGATTTAGGGTACAGACCGTCGTCTGGAGCTTTCCGGTGAGCCGGCGACCGGTAATTGCCCCAATCTGTGCTCCAGTTCCGGGAATGTGTAATCAGTGAAGAGCCCAAAGTTTACTTGAGAAGTTGAGAGTTCTGATGAAGAGTCAGAGTCAGTTATTTTTAAGGAAAATGCTAAGGGTACACAAGGTACATACCTTGTACACACAATGTCTGTCACAGACAATTGGTATGGAGTTGTCTTGACCACAGACAAGAGACCACAGACAAGATTTGTCTGTGTACGCAGACAAATTTTGTCTGTTTCCACAGACATTTACTTTTTTGTAAAAAGTACTTGTCAGTGTCAGGCGGCTCTCAGTGTACTTTTTACAAAAAAATAAATGTCTGTAGAAACAGACAAAATTTGTCTGTGTACACAGACAACTCTTGTCTGTGGTCACAGACAACTCCGTACCAATTGTCTGTGACCGACATTGTGTGTACAAGTTGTGTACAACTTGTGTACCCCTAGCATTTTCCTATTCGGAATGTTATTTTCAAATACCTTCCTTAAGTTATTTGACATTTAACTTATGTCCACGCCGTTCCACCCAGGTTTAGGCATTTGACATTCTGAGTCAAAGTATCAATATATTATTGATACTCCCGACTGGGAAAAAACTCCCGACTCCCGATCCCGATCCCGACAATCCCGATCCCGAAAATCCCGATCCCGACTAGTCGAGAATTTTTCCCGATCCCGACTAAGTCGGGAGGGGATCGGGATTTTTTTTTAAAAAAGTCGGGATTGAGAAAATCCCGACATCCCGACATTATATATATATATATATATATATATATATATATATATATATATATATACACACATGTATATAATTATATATGAATTGATAGAGTATTAATTCTAGAGAGAAGTGAGAGCTAGAGAGAGAAAGTGAGTAATTATATTTCTCAATTGGGAAAGAGTCCCCTATAATTAGCCCCTTGGGGTCTATTTATAGGTAAAAATGTAGATTTGGGCCCCTAGCCTTGGGCTTAGGAGGCCCATTACAATAATCATGCCCTCTTTGGGCGAATAAGGCCACTAATGGGCTGAGTACAACACTTAGTACAAAAATAGGAAAATACATTCTGCCCGGGCGAAGTCCGGACGATGCGGTCCATGGACGACGCGGTCCATGGACGACGCGGTCCATGGACGACGCGGTCCATGGACGATGCGGTCCATAGAAATCAGGCGATATCTTCTCTCTTGGACGCTACGTGCCTCTGGGCGATGCGGGTGTCCCGCTGGTGTCTTTTGGGCCGTTGAGTATGTGGGCCATGGGGTCCAGGCCCATATACTCTATCAGGAGTCCCCCACTCTCTGAGCTGAGGTGAAACCGAAGCGAAAGGGAGTACTTGTTCCTTTCTGGCTGGCCGTTGTGTGAGTCTAAGGCGTTTGATGGCCGAAGAGTTCCTGCTTTGATTTTTTGATGAAGCGGTTCCCTTATTTGATGTAGATGAAGCGTGCTTGGGAACTCATAGCCTTGATGCGGGCCGATGCACACTCTGTGGAAGTGCCTTTGAAGACGAGGCGATGCGCTTTCTTTTTTTGTAGATGTGATGAATTTTGGTGTGGACAAGTTGACATGCTTTTATTGTCATCTTGTTGTGGTTGAAGAGCTCCCATCTATCCTTTTGGCCGTAGCGAAGACCTATTTTCATGAGATGAAGATGGTTGATTCTGTTTATGTAGACGATGCGATGCGCACCTTTGTTTTGTTATGCGGCCGAAGCGTTTTGACTTGTGAGTTTTTGTTATGGTGAGACGATGCGGCCCTCTCAGTGTACATAGCCGTTGCGCTAGATTTTTTTATCTTGGGGTTCTAATTCCTGGGCTCTGTAGCCGATGCGATCCCCAGTTCTTTTGTTGTTGGCAAGCCGTAGCGCACCCTTTTGTATTAAGGCCGTTGCGCTTCCTTTCCTTGTTTCCGATACAGTCCCCCAGTCCCCCACTCCTTTGGCCGAAGAGCATCTGAGGCACAAGGGAGTAATCAGCCGTTTCGGTACCTACGCGTTAGTCGCGACTCCAACCCTTAGGCGAACCTGTCCAAGGTAACCCTGTGGGAGAACCCTTGGACGAAGGCCGCAATGCCAGGGCTATCATCGACGATGCGCGTGCTAGTGGCCGTAGCGGTCTGCTTAAGATTTTCTGGGTCGTGAGGATGTGGAGTTTAGGCCGATGTGTTCCCCTTCATCGGAAGTGTGGGCCGATGCCTACTTTGGAACCTTGTAGTAGTTGGGCCGTAGCGGTATTCAGCCGATGCCTTGTTTCTTTGTAAGGTTGAGTTGGGCCGTAGCGATGCCTGTTTGAGTGATTTTGAATTGGTGTCCCTTGATTGGTAGGGAGAGAGGTGGCCGTTGGTGGGGCCAATGGGGTGGCGCCACGTGTAGTGACCGTTGGAAGTTTTCTATAAATACCTCCCTATTCCGTAGCCGCTATCCCATTTGCGTTTGCTAGAGTTGAAGTGCTGCTGAGATTTCTAGAGAGATAAAGTGCTTCCCAGAAATCTTCAAGTGTTCTTCGGATCTTCACCCACTCCAAGGTTAGGTTCTTGAATTGTTCTCCCTTTTTTCTTTATACTTTGCTTCCTAGGGGGTTAGATCTAGTGTTTCTAGGAAAAATCACTTTGATCCTCGAACGACCCTTAGGACGTAGCATAGTTGTTATGCCGTTCCCTGACGGCCGTAGCGTCCCCTCCCCCGTTGACTTGACAGCTTCATTGGACGAGTCTGATTGGCCTTTTGACGAGGACGACGCGTCTCCCAAGGTGGACCTAGACGTTGTGGCAGCATTTGAGTTTGAGATGGAGAATACGGCAGACTATCGTACCTCTGCGGACGAGGAGCGCCTGGTGGATGATGCGGGTTCTCAACCCTCTGGTGAGGACGAAGCGAGCTCCGACCCCAAACTTCGTGGCGACGATGCGGGTGATGCATCCTCGGCCGCTATTCCTTGTCCTCCCCCGCTTACCTCGGTCCCTGGTATCGCTCCGTCTCCCTCCAAATCCAAGATGCGTAAGTCGCGTCGTCGGAAGGGGTTATCTGGTAGCATCTCGCAACTAGATTTGTCGAACCTTTATATCATAAGGCCGGAGGGTTCCCAAGGTGAATATCAGGTGGCTCAGCTCTACGTCGGGCCTTATGGAAGGGTTAGGGCGCCGAAGCCGACGGACCATGTTCTGGATCCCCCTCCTAGTTACTTCGGAGTGTATCCGATGAGCTTCTCCCAGGGTTTGAGGTCCCCCCTTCATCCATTTGTTGTGGAGTATCTCAACATGATAGATCTTCCACCCGCTTTGCTGACTCCGAACAGCTTTTCCCTCATCGTCGGGTTCCTCATCCGATGCGATGAGCTTGGGATTGAGCCGACGACGGCATTGTTCACGAACCTATACCGGATCGGACGGGGCAGTCATGAGAACTGTGCTGGATATGCGGCCCTCCAACAGCTGCCGAAGAAAAGATCTTTTACTGATCTCCCGTCGTCCATCCATGGGTGGAAGAGTAAATTTTGCTTCGTGAAATTAGCCGATAGGGTGTTTTTCCCGTCTCAAGGGCACAATGGTATCTTTAATTTGCACAACCCCCCAAGGAGCCCTGAGATTGATGCCCAAGTGGAGGCATTCCTGAAAGGTGGGCCGCGGAGCGTCAACACTTACATTACTGAGTTCAAGATAGTGGCCCTTGGGATGATGCGCTACTACATACCAGGCGATCCTGACTGTGGTTTGTGGCCGAAGATGTCCGGTTACTTTGAGCAGGCCGACGGGCCCTACTTCGGTGTCCCGGCCGATGCCGAAGGTTGATCACTTTCTTTTGACTTACGTTATAGTTCGTTTTTTGTTTTTTCTAACTCTTGTTTTGCTCTTTGCGTCAGCAGATTTCACCATGAGCCGTAAGCTTTTCATGTCCCAAGCCAAAAAGATGGTCGCCAAGGAGATGGAAGCCGCTCAGCAAGTCGAGGCGTCCAAAGGTTCTGGTGACGGCTCCAAGTCTCAGACCGAAGCGGTGAAGAAGGCGGCGGCTCAGAAGAAGAGGAAGCCTGCTGAGGGGCAGAAAACCTTGACTGAAGCTGGGTTGAAGCCGACCCAGGATGCTAAGAGGCCGAAGCAGGGTCAATCCTCTAAGGATGCCGCTACGGCTGTTGTGCGGGCTACGGCCCAGATGGAGCAGGTCCCCGACGTTCAGGTGATTGAGGACCTCACCTTGAATGAGACGTCGGCTGCCCTCATCCCTACGTCGCTGCATCTTGGGAAGGATGTCCAGCCAAGCTCCCGCAGCGGCCGTGACCTGGCCTCCGGACTGTATGAGGTGACGGTCTGTTACCCAACGAAGGGCGGGCTCTTTAATGAGAAAGTCTCCGGCCATGACGTACTGTTTCAGGCCATCCCCGATGAAGATAGGGCCTACCTTCGTCGTCAAGGCAAGGAAGTGCGCCTCTTTGATGGCGGGTTGGACTACGTCGTCCAAGTAAGTATACAATCTTGTACTTAGGTTTTCTTGCCTTGCTTTCCTTTTCTGACTATCCTTTTCTTTTACAGGGTGCTTTGATGCTGATGGAGCAGCACCGTCGGCAGGAAGAGGAAATTGTCCGTCTTCGGGAGGCCGAGAAGAAAGCCGCCTCTGCTGACGAGGCGCTTTCCAAGTTGGGGCAGCTCCGGACTGAGACTGACTCCTTGAAGGAGAGGGCCGATGCGGCTGAGAAGAAAGCCGCTGCTGCCGAGGACGAGGCGAAGCGCCTCAAGGTTCAGTTGGACGAAGAAGCGGCTGCCCGTCGGCTAGCAGAGGAAAGAGCTGTGAAGCTAGAGGCCGATGCGATTGCAGCGGCTGATAAAGCCATTGAGCTCTTTATGGCCGAGGGGTGGAAGGACGAGGCCCGACGCGATTGGACTTTCAATGTCGTGGCGGAGCGCTTTGAAGCGTGGTCTCAGGAGGAGGCTGGCCGAGCCCGCCTGAAAGAGGAGTTTGAAGTCTGGTACGACCTCGGCCAGAGGCGTATGCAGATGTTGGTCTACCGCCGTCTTCGCCGGCGTGTGAAGAACCTGAAGCCTAGGGGTATCGGCCTTCCCCGGATGATGAAGGACCCCGAGGAGGAGTTGAAACTTCCTCT